TTGTGAATATGTTTTATTATCATTGGCCAATGGCTTAGCAGAGCAAAGCCATGTGGGAAATCCAAACAGAGACACAGAAAGTAGGCAGAGTCAGAGAGATGCCATGTAGCTGCTGAAGGAGAAGGGCACCAGTACCTAGTCAGAACTTTACTGGCAGGCCACAGCCTCGTGATGCTTCACAGATTAACAGAAATGGGTTAATTTAATATGTAAGAGTTAGCTAGAAATACACTTAAGCTATTGGTCAAACAGTGTTTTAATTAACATAGTTTCTGTGTGGTTATTTGGGTCTGAGTGGCTGGGGGGAAATAAAGAGCACTCTCTGTCTACAGATATCCATGCGGACAAAAACACTTAAATACATAAACTAAAAATATGTAAGTAAGTAAGTAAATAAAATAGAGCCAGGCACGGGGGTGCACAGCTTTTTTTTGTTTTGTTTTTTCTTTTTTCTTTTAATTAATTAATTAATTAATTTATTTATTATGTATACAATAGTCTGTCTGTCTGCAGGCCAGAAGAGGGCACCAGACCTCACTACAGATGGTTGTGAGCCACCATGTGGTTGCTGGGAATTGAACTCAGGACCTTTGGAAGAGCAGGCAATGCTCTTAACCACTGAGCCATCTCTCCAGCCCCTTGTTTTGTTTTTTCAAGACAGAGTTTCTCTGTGTAACAGCCCTAGCTGTCCTGGAACTAGCTCTTGTAGAGTTGAGCCTGACCTCAAACTCAGAGGCCTGCCCCTGTCTCCCAAATTCTGGGATTAAGGGCGTGCACCATCACCGCCCGGCACATGGTACACACTTTTAATCCCAGCATTTGGGATGCTAAGCAAGTGGATCTCTGTGATCTTGAAGTCAACCTGGTCTACACAGCAAGTTCCAGGCTAGTCGGGGCTACACAGAGATACTCTGTCTCAAACAAACAATTCGCAGAGAAGTGTTGCCATGGGGGCAGCTCAGGTGCTTGGGGACCCTAAGTAGACAATTCCACCAGGGCAGGGATCAGAGGGGCACCATGTGACCTTTACAACACCGTCCTACAAACTGTGTCTCCTAAGCATCTACAATATGAGACGTCAATGTCAGGCCAGGTGCTGGCAGCAGGTGCCCTCTCCCCTCCACACCTCCCTGAGCCTGGACAGCTAATGGCCAGCAGCCTTACCAGAAAATGTATGAATAACCCTTGGGCACCGGGCATGCTCCAATAACTTGGTGCTGATGTCAGCTGTGTCCTGACTGCTGACCCCACAGGAAATGCTTGGATAGTAGAGTGTGTTGACACTGGTACAGAGCCACCTCAGCCGGCCTCGGGTTGGCTGAGCCCTGGCTCTGCAGCCTCCATGTTCTCCTTTCGTTAGGACACACAGATTCTTTGTTTTAGGCATGACCTGACCCACAGGGGAGCCAGCTCTGCCCGATGCCTTTCATGCATCCCATGCTGCTATTCACTCCATTGGGCTCTTCCCACCTCTGTTTCTACTTAAAGCCACTGCCCAGGCCCCCCTCTGAACTCACATGGGACTAGATATGCATTGGCACAGGTGTGCACTTGTGCCCTTGTGTGCATGGAAGGTGACTGTGAAGGGCTCTGGCAATCAGTATCATGGGCTGGAACAGCCACCCACCTAACATATCCATTGTGTAACATGCCAGAAACTGCACATGGGCAATCAGTACAACAGCAGCCCAATGGACTAATGAGATTTGCAGCACTAAAGAGTCCCTTGTTACTAAGTGTTTCTTAGGGTCATATATGTGCCTCTGGCACTACCCCTCGCTGTGGGAAATGGTCACCAGCCTGAAAAGACAGCTCTCACCTATATGAGCCAATATATAAGTCTGCTCCCTGGCAACACAGACTTTGGACAAGAGGCCCCCTCCCATCCTCTGTGGGGTTTTATTTATTTATTTATTTATTTGGCTATTCTGAGACAGTCTCATTCAGCCTGTAGCCCAGGCCGGTCTGGAACTCACCGAATCCTTCAGTTTCCCAAACATGATTGTGGGCATATGTTTCCATGCCCAGCTTATAAGGCTGGCTTTGAAAAAACAAAGTCTCTTCAAAAACTAAAACAAACAAACAAACAAACAAACTAAAACTCTGCCTTTTGCTGAGTGGCTGTGGTGGTGCACGCCTTAATCCCAGTACTCAGGAGGCAGAGGCAGGCGGATCTCTGTGAGTTTGAGGTCAGCCTGGCCTACAGAGCGAGTTCCAGGGCAGGCTCCAAAGACTAAATGACCCAGCTCCACCATTAAATTAACTACGGAACATGGGTCCCCAGGGCACAGCCTATGGGCTCAGTTTACCCATCTGGAGCACAGCAAGGACAAAGGCCTGGACTTGATCCCCAGTACCACAGACAGTCTAACCCATGACATGTCATGCTTCTGGTATGCATGCAGTAACCTGCAGTCAGCTAGCAAGAAACCAATTACCCCTGAAACCTACAAACTTTCCTCAGAAACCTATTCCACAGGATTAGAGAGACGGCTCAGTGGTTAAGAGCCATACTGCTTTGCAGTGGACCTAAATTTGATCCCAGCACCCACACTAGGTGGCTCACAACTGCCTGTAACTACAGTTTTCAGGGAGATCTGATGCCTCTGGCCTCCACAAGCATCTATACTCATGTACACACACGCACACACACACACACACACACAGACACACATGCACAAAAACACAATGTGAGACATTCACAAACTATTAAACACAAACTATTAATCACAAACTATTAAAAATAAAAATAAGTCTTTTTAAAACTCTATTTTATAACACAAGCTCTCCCCCCACCATATATATGTATGTATGTATATACCCCCAAGACAAGGTATCTCGTGTAGCCTTGGCTGTCCTGAAACTTGCTCAGTAGACCAGGCTGGCCTTGAACTCACAGAGATTCGCCTGCCTCTGCCTCCAAGTGCTGGGATTAAAGGTGTGCACCACCAATGCCTGGCTCAGCCCCCCACCCCTTTAAACAGTAAAAAGAGCTCCTATGATATAAACACTCCCAAGGGAAATGCTGGCCTAAGAACTAAGCAACATAAGGATGGAGACCCAGGCCCTTTGATCCTGGACTGGGCTGAGGAGAAAGCAATGGCTTCTGCAGCTCTGACTAGAGGTTCCCAGCCCACAGTGATCAGTGACAAACCCAGCTGTGAATAAGGAGGTAGGAAACTTTCAGAGGCCCCTTGGGTCCCCCAGGAGTCCTTCAGGACCAGTGTCTGCTGGGATAGGTCTAATGGACCCCTCTCCTGCTAAGCTGAGGTGACTTGGCCTGTTGGTCACACAGGCAGGAGCAGGCCTTTTTTTGGGGGGAAGTTTAGGTGTTCCTCCTGTTCCTTGGCAACTTGAGAACTCAGCCAGTAAAAACAACCAGGAAGCCAAGAGCCCCTCCTCCTGTGATGTGACACCTTTATTTGCAGCACCAGGACTGCTGTTCTGGGGACAGACTGCAAAGACCCTGCAGGTGGGCAAGGTAAAGAACATGTCATTGCTGTGAAGCCTCCTGTGGTCTTCTGTCGCCCCCATCCGGACTGGCAATCAGGAGCCAGGTCCTGAGGTTAGGGAGGTCAAGTGGGGTAGTGGGTGGGCTTGAGGCTTGGCCATAAAGGAAGATGTGCATTGAGGCCAGACTGCAGGTCTCCAACCTGCACTTGCTCTGATGATGGGCACTTTACCAGTCACGTGGGACCCTCAGGGAATGCTGGGCAGTCATTCTATACACTTCTCTATCACAGATGAAAGGTCACTAGGAGAAGTCCCCTCTGACTCCACCCAGCCTGATTCTTTGTTCTGTGCATAGGTTCTCGACACAGGAGCTGACTGCTGGTTGTCTGTCCTTCTCTGCTCTCATAGAATCGTGAGATGGGAACAGTACATGTCTGCTCAGCCCTACACTAGTGTGTAGACTTTGATGCTCCCGGGACGCAGACAGAGGGTTGTGGTGGTCTCAATGCCTCCTGTGGGTGGGTGGAAAGGGAGTGAGAGCCTGTGTAGATCTGTTTTCCAAACTCGGTGCTTCGCCCATCGGTAAATAGGGCTGATGTGTATGAAAACGTGAAAGAGTGGGGCGACTTGGTGTCTACTGTGGTGGTCATATCTGTTAATGGACGATGGCCCGGGTCTACCAACTCCAGGGTGGAAGATGACTTGGACTTTATCATGGGCTCTGCCACTGTTCTGTTCACCCTCTGCCTTGGCTAGTCAAATGGGTCTTCCTGTCAGACCCCTTTGTCCAACAATTCACGCTGAATGTCTGTGCTATGCCTGGCGGGATGTGGGTTGTGCACATCTGATCAAAGCAGGCTAAAAGCCCCTGTATTCAAATTCCAGTTTCTTCTTCCCTAATACCCTAGCTAAATCCTTTAACTTCCCCTAGCCTGTCGCCTCCTTTATTAGAAGGAAATAAGACCGTTAAGAGGAGCCCCGAACCTAGGCATTGGCTCAGCACATAATTTCACCTCTTTCTTTCGAAGAATCAAACCGTGCACAGAGTAGTTAAATTCCTCCCCTTGTTAAATTAACAACGCGTGCATATTAGTAGGAAGCTGGCGTGCACGCGAACACTCGAACGGCAGCAGGACTGAAGGCTACACTTTCTGTCCCATGAGTTTCTTTACCTATCTAGGAAGTTGTCCCACATTAGTACTTTAACCCAATTGCCACGACTACTGTCAGCCTGGGAATCGTCAGAAGAAACCACGGCGCCAGCTCTGCCGGGAATTCTCCGTAACCGCAGTCTTCATCTTCTTGGCCAGGACTACCTTGGGCGAGTGGATGCGGGTGCAGAGAGAGCTAGCCAGACTGGTCCCAAGGCAGTGCCAACCGCGCGCGTAAGTGTTTCCCGGGGGACCAACCCTTCTTTCAGCGAGGTTACACATCACACACAACAGCAGCACATGCATCAAGGCTCACAGTACTCAGAAGCCTCTGGAGAACCTGCCGGCTTCAACACACGATCTCGGTAAAACCTCGCACCGCGACCAGGTACTGACCTGCTTCAGCGAAGAACTGCGCTGTTTTGTCAAATCTCCAGCGACCCCAAATGTAGTCCCAAGGTTGCAAACCTCTCTGTTCCTTTAAAGAGGCGGAGCCCTAAATGCGCTACTTCTGCCCAGAAGCAACATGGCGCCAAGAGCACCATCAGAAGCTGCGGGAAACTCTACGTTCCCTTTAAAAATATGGTGACCCCCCTGGCGGCCCCGTTTGCGCCCGGTGACATCACTTCCGGGGCGGATACCTAGAAAGTGGTACAGTGACCGGCAAACAAAACAAGGCGCCAAAGATCCTTGGTGTGAGCCGCTATTAGAAGCCAGAATCGGGACGTGCGGCTGGGAGCGGCGGGCCCAGGCGAGTGGGTCGGGTGGGGAAAGCGACGCTCGCTGTCACCTCACGGAACCCACTCACTTGCGCTCGGCCTCCGCGCGCGCCTCTCACCCGAGTTTCCGCCGCGCTTCCCACATCCCACTTGCTGCGCTGGTCCCCGCAGACCCGCGCCCCTCCGCGCGCCCGTCCGCTTCCCTGTGGGTCCCGCTGGGCGATCTCTGGACAGCACCCCCAATCAGCAGCTCTCCCGGTTCTCAGCCTTGGGCTTCCCGGCGCCAGTCTCTTTCCTTGGACCCCTCCCTCTTCCTGATCTGCGGGACAGTTATCTGCCATGGGGGCAGGATCACCGGCTTTAGGGACCTCGGTCTTTGGACTGGGGTTCCCCGGACGACCGGTTCTTGATGTGAAACCCAGTTGGTTCTGCCGCTGTCTTGTGCTTCCACCGGCGGGAAGGAGTATCAGATCTGTGAAGGTGTGGGTGAGCCGGAGGTCAGCAAAGATGCTCCCAGGCTGAAGGAACACAATGAAATTGGAAGCTAAATTGTGAAAAGGGGAATGTATACCTGAAAGTTCTAAAAGACCTTCCACCTTGGAAAGGGGGCGATGATTCCTTTAACCCCAGTTGACTGTGTTCTGCTCTCTGGAGTACACAGAGTAGCAGACAGCACTGAAGGAAGGGGAGGAAGGGAAGCAGAATTTAAGTGTGTTCATAGGTTTGGGACAGTGAAAATGATCGGGACACACTGTCAGTGAAGGTTAAGTTCTCCTGTGGCAGTCCAGGGGAAGGAAGCAAGGACTGTGGAGGAGATACTGGGGTGATGGTGGCTTGACTCTCTGTCTTCCCAGTCGTATAGCTTGTTGGGGTTGAGGGGTGTTGATACTCAGGACCTTCTTGCCTCCTAGGGTCTGTAGGGCATAGGATAGGAGATCAAGAAATATTGTGATGGCCTTCCTCCCAGTGTTTCTTTTGTCTGCTGAGGACACCTGCTAGAAGGCGGGTTGTAGAGAGTGGGGGCTTCGAGGGATTGCCCTGTGAGTCAGGAGTCTGGACAGGTTTATTTGCTGCTTGAAGGAGCTTCAAGGGAGGAACCAAATGAGATTCCAGGTTTTCATGTGGGGACATCGAGGCACAGCCTAATAGGCAAAGACCCCAGAAGGACCCAGATGGGATCCTCATGGGTACCTGGAGTCTTGCTTGCCATCTCTCCATTCCTGGGCTCACTCTCCTGCCCTGCCATAATAGTCTGCTGTGGACACATGCTACGAAATGTGTCCCTGCCCTCCTCAGCACTGCAGCCTGAGGGGAAACAGATATCAGGCCATAGAAGCTGAGGATTGAGCACTGTTATGACAGAAAGAGCCCCATGGTAGTCCAGAGGAGAGGTACCCATGGATACATGGACAGGGTTGCGGAAGGGACACTTCCAGGAAGAAGGACACTGGAGGAGCATGTGAGTCTGGAGCCTCAGTTCTGGTTCCTCTACCATGAGCAAGTGATTGCACAGCCTCAGCAGGTGTCCCAGTCCTGACTGAGGAGGAGGCAGTGCAGAGGTGGCCTGGACAGCTTCTGTATCTTTCTGACTCTAGGTGCTTTGCCACCCATGTCAACTTCTGGGTGCTTGCACTGCCCTCCAGCCACAAACTGGATCCCCCAGTTATGGCATGTTCTGTAATCCCTCTTAGACCCATCCAGGTCCCAGAATGTGTCACCCCCTTTATGGCTAACTCCTATCAGTACTTTGGCCTCCCAACTCGGGCTGTTTCTGCTGTCCTCCCCAGGTCTACAGAAGCATCTATACTATACTTTACATCAGAGGTGGCACAGCTCAGAAGGAAAGGGATCCTGGCAGTCAGAGGCTGGGGAATACTGAGTGTTACAGTTCGGGTAGAAGAGTATTCTGACCAGGGAATAGCAGAGGCCACAGTAAGCGTTGCAGTTTACAACCCTGCTCTAGGGAAGGTTTCCCCAAAGTAACAGCTCTGCTCCTGCAGAAGAGGGCTTCCCAGCTAAGTTGCTGCAACGTGGCTCTGGTTCTGGGGAATGTAGCAACTCTGCTCTGCTAGGGGAAGTTTTCCCTGTTACAGCCCTGCTCCGTTCACCTCTGCTTCTGACTTCCCTTGGCTTGCCAGGTGAAGGCTTCTCCAGAGAAAATGTTACAGTCCCGCTTTGCTATGCTCCAGCAAAGGAAGGTCTTGACCCAAACCTTGTTCAAGAGATTTATTGAGAGGGAAGAATCCATGAGAGTGGCTGCCTCTACCGGGGTGGAAGAAGAGCAGCCAGAACCTGAACAGGCAGAGGGACTTAAATAGGGCTTCTTAGGGGTGGAGTTTTTCCAGGGAGAGGAGGGATTGGTTAGTTAGTTTATCAGAGGCAGAAATGAATGATTTCAGGGCCAAGCTGTGCTTCTTTCACTGACCTTTTAAGGTTTTTGGCTCTAGTTTTGGGGCTAGGGCATATTTCTTTCACAGACTCTGAGTCTAGGGACAAAGTATGTTTCTTTGGCACTGGTTTCAGAGACAAGGTGCATTTCTTTGGGTCTGGGTTCGGGGCTAAAGCATTTCTTTCACTGGCTCGGGTCTCAGAACTAGGGTGTGTTTCTTTGACTGGCCCTTTTACCCTACACACACTGCCACCTTGTCTCTGGGCAAAGTGCATGACAGAGTGCTCCCTGTGCACTTACTCAGAGTGCTCCCTGTGCACTTACTCATTGTGGAGAGTGTGTCCTTGGTTTAAGTGGAAGTCCTTGTACGGCCTGTCCCACCACTGTTACTCCTCCCTTGTCACTTCCCACCTCCAGAGCAGCATTCTTTGGATGGCTCCTCTGCCTCATGCTGAGATCACTCTTACCACTGTTTGTGCCCCAGGGATACTTACTTTTGGGGCATTTACTCTCCGGAAGCCTTCGCTAACTCCACTAAGTCCATTAACTGGTCTGGGTCTAAGGTTGGTTCATGGATCCCCAGCAGGGTCTGGCTTCAAGACTGCAAAAGTTGCTGTCTAGTATTGCAGCATCCATGAAGTCAAGGGAGATGTCAACTCTGCACAGATGGTCAGGGTCAGCTTTAGCAGGACAGCCAACATGCAGCTAGCAGAGCAGTCTCAGCCTTACTTAGCAGCCTTCCCCAAGAGGAGCAAAGGCCAGAACCATATCCTTTGGGTCCTTAACGCAGGGACAGTATATTCTGCAATGTGTCGGACAGTTGAGTGACACCTGCTGGCTGTGCTTTTTCAACCAAGACTTTTATTTGGAGACTGTTTATTTTTCTCTCAGGTCTTCTCAGTGCCTGCTGCTGACATGCTACTTAGCAGTCTCTGGTCGTGTTGGTCAAAAAATTCTGGTTGAATGGTATCTTTGTTTTGGTGTTGTTTTTCTTTGTCCTTTTCAGTTTTTGAGACAGGGTCTCCCTATAAAGCCCAGGCAGGCCTGGACCTAGTTTCCCACTCAGAGCTCTATGTGCTGGGATTGTACGCATATGCTACCACAGTGTCTTCTTATGCTGCAGGCCTTCTCAGAACTTTGGGTGCGCTGACCTGGGTGTGGTGAGTGTGAGAAGCTGGCAAGGCAGAATGCTTCCCAAGCACTGACCATGTGCACACGTGTAGGCCGAGGTTCTTTGCCTGCACTTGGAAAAGGAGACATTAGTCAGTAAGTGCACAATTGAAGATCTGAGTCTCAGCCGGGTGGTGGTAACACTCAGGCAGAGGCAGGCGGATCTCTGTGAGTTCAAGGTCAGCCTGGTCTACAGAGCAAGTTCCAGAAGAGCCAGGGCTAAATAGTGAAACTCTGGCTTGAAAAACAAAACCAAACAAGCAAAAATAATAATAAAAATAAACAAATGAATAAATAAAGACTTGAGTCTCTATTCAGATATGGCTAGAATCATAGCTGCCACATGCTCACTTACCAACAGTGAATTTCTCTGAACTTCAGGTTACTTAACTTTTTTTTTTTCCAAAAAGAATTTTTTAGGTTTTTATATTTGTTTATTTATTGAGAGGATCCCACCACATAGCCCTGGCTGACCTTGGGCTCACAGAGATCCACTTGCTTTAGGCTCCCAAGAGCTGAGATCAAAGGCATGTGCCACCAAGCCAGCATTCCTCACCTTTGAGGTTCAGTTTAGTACCCAGCTCCCTGTAGGATGTTTTGAGAATATATTGGTGTGGGGAAGGCACTTAAGAGTGCTTGCCACAGGCTCCAAACCCAAAAGTGGCCTATTTAGAAACCATCATGTAATCTGCAAAATAAACCCATGATGTTGATCTCATGACCTGAACCTTGGCAATGGCCTCTGTCCCCTGTTGACAAGGCTCAACATGAGCAGCATGTTGCAACCAGCACCTCAGGAAAGAAAGTGAGGTTGTGAACTTGAACATGCACACTGCAGTCCTGGGGCTAGATGCTTTGCTTTCCCTGAGCCTTCCCTGCCTCCACCTGCTCCTCAGTTCTCCCCAACAGCAGACAGGAGACTCCAACCCCAACCTTTGAACAAACTTTTATCATGGGGTTCTTCCTTCCTTCCTTCCTTCCTTCCTTTCTTTCTTTCTTTCTTTCTTCCTTCCTTCCTTCCTTCCTTCCTTCCTTCCTTCCTTTTTTTGAGACAGGGTTTCTCTGTATAGCCCTGACTGTCATAGAACTCACTCTGTAGGCTGGCCTATAACTCACTGCCACCTGGTGACTTTTTTTGTTTAATACACAAGGTGATGCATGTTTGCTACTGGTTTCATACTATTTGGATTCCGGATATCAAAGGTAAAGACTTCCCTGGCTTACTCGTCACATGTGGAATAGGGGATCAATCTTCTGTTGTGGTATCCTCCAGGCATGATCTGGGGTAACCATCTTGAAATCAGGGCAGCTGTGGGTATCCAGAGGTGTCCCCACAAGACTGACTCTACATTCTCTGGTAGAAGTGAGGGACGATCAGACCTTAATCTGATAGTTCAGTCACTCACTCCCTTCCATCCACACCGTGTAACCCTGCTGTGGCTGTAGGCTACTTTTCTTTCCCACCCACTTTTCTTTCCCACCCACTAGTTCCCAAATAACTGACATGCAGACTTAATATTAATTATGAAGACTCACCTGATTGCTTAGGCATATTACTAACTAGCTCTTACAACATAAATCAACCCATTTATATTAATCTGCATTCTGCCACATGGCATTACCTCCCTTTCATCTCGCACCTCCTGTTTCCTTTCTGTGTCTCTCTGGTGACTCCTCTGACTCCACCCTTCTTACCAGTGTCCTTAGTCTGGTTCTCCCACCTAACCTTATCCTGTCCAGCTATTGGCCAGTCAACTTCTTTAGTAAACCAATCACAGCAACATATATTCACACAGTGTAAAGGAAAATTCCACATGTGGCAACCTGTGATCTCAAGAGGTGCTGCATTTGACAGGATGTGTAAGGGGACACTCCACAG